TAATAAAGAAGTATTTATCTGACCCAAGCCTGGTTGTGTGAGAATGCTTCAGAACTGAGAGTTGGACATCGTGGACTTGACATAACCATAGCGTGTTGGGTTTCTAAATTTTTGTTTGTTTGTTTCAGTGCCTTTGGGTCAGATTTGACTCTTGGTGTTTTCCTGGACTAGTCCCTGCAGTTTTCTTGATAAGATGTTTCAGAATTGGTTTGCCATTGCTTTCTTTCTAGGGCTGAGAAAGAGTGACTGGCTCAAGGTCACCCAGCTGGCTTTGTGCCTAAGGCAGGGCTAAAACTCACACTCTCCTGGTTTCTAGTCTAGTGCCTTACCCACTACACCAAACTGGCTTTCTTCTAGTTATTACAGAAATAGGAACATAGTCATACATGCACACCTGAGTTTAAGAGAGCCAACTTCACACATTTATGAAAGTTCTAAGCAAGATCCCATGGACAGAAATCTTCAGATCAAAGAGAGTGCAGGAGGACTGGAAACTTCTAAAAAATAAGATACTGTAAGTGGTATATCACCACTTGCTTGTGGCTGGCAAAATATCAGCTTGAGAGAAGCCTGAGGAAATAATCAAACTACTCCTCTCAGGATAGCTTGGTTGTCTATATCATCCTGTCAAATGATAAGGAGGGTTCCTGCCATAAATATGTTCACTGGATCATGTGTTTATTGCTTCAGTATTGTGGCAGATGGTAGATGTGAAACAACCAGCTGAAAATGCCAGTAGAATATTATGGAGTTCCCAAAAAATAATTTCATCGCAAATTGGGTTAGAATGAGAAGCATAATGGGAGCTCCAGAAAAAGCCAATATTTTTTTTTAACATTGGATGATACATTGGGTTCATACTTTATTTATTTAAATCTGCAGATCATCCATATCTGTATATCCAACAGTCTACATCAGAAGAACCAAAGTTTTTGTACTCAAGATAGATTAGGGAATTAAACAAAACTTCTGCAAACTTATTTAAAGTAACCATACTTGCATATTTCCAATAAAAAGTGTCCTCTTAGAAAACTGGAGTAATCTGAAAGAGTACTGTCATAGAGCAAAGTATGGATCTAGGAATAGCAGTTAAGCTGTGAGGTTAGGAAAATGGAAATAATGGAAGTGATTCTGGAGTTCTTAAGGTAACCTTTCCCTGTTTGTGTCAGGACAGTAGTGAGGCAGCAGAAGAAGCTGGTACCTGGAACGAAGAGGTCACCAAATGGTGGGGAGAATGGAGCTCCTGGTCCACATGTTCCCGCACCTGTGGAGGAGGTGTAATGTCAAGGGAGAGGCACTGCTTATGGCAGCGGTAAGTAATTGATCAAGGCCACTTGACAGAAATGCAGGATCTTTTGTTGGATGTTACCATTGCAGTACATTTGGCATTTTAAAACAAAACATTGGGATGTGTCAGAGCAGTGTACTAAATCACTTTTTCTCCATGTGGCTCTGTTTCTCTAACTTCCTCTCCATTAGATAATTTCATTTCCATAATCCTCACGGTTTTCTTTTTCCCTTCCTGAGGTTCAGCAACTAATATCCTGAGCTGAGCCCTGGATTAAAGGGCAGGGGAGGTATAGTTTGCACAAGGATGATGATAGATTTCTTTCTGAGGAATCCCATACTCCCATCCTTAGCCCAGCTGCTCAGATTTCCATGTAGTTGACCTGCAGGGGCTATGCCAAGGCTTCAACCTGCACTCAAGAGTTGAATAACCTCCAGGGAGGCACCTCTTTTAACCTGCCATTCCAGGTCCCTGGATGCTAATGTGAACTGGCATAGAAGACTTTTCTCAACTATGCTTATCCACACTTCTCCTTCCTATTCTACATGAACATACTTCTGAGGGGAGGAAGACTTTCCTCTTTCCTTCTGTCAAAAGTGTGTGCATTCATGTGTGTCCTTTTATGTGGCATGGCTGCATAATTGAGGCCTGGATATGCTGAGGCTCTTCCTGTCTGGAAATAACCCTGATTCTCAATGTAGTTAGAAATAAGCTTTACTTTTGGCAAGGCATCCCAGGGCCTCCTTTTAAGAAACCAACCAGCAGGGACCAGGTGTGGCCTACAGTTTGTCTCTCCAACTTAAAAAAACACATTGTGCCTGGATGTTCATTCACACACATGTACACGTTCCAGAGTATAATCACATTATTATCTAAACTAAGGGAGAGAATCTGTGCTCCAGCCCCACTAAAGAAGAGCCATCTGTCTTCCTAACTGGTTGAAGGTCTACCATCCAGTCCTACAGGCTCGGCCAAGCAGCCTCCTCACTTTGAGATCAAAGCAGGGCAGGGAATTAAGCTTCCTTGACAAAGCTCCTGCTTGTTCTGAGATATAGAGTTTGATATTGTCATCCTCACTGCAATAAAATTAAGCTTGGACAGTGCTTAAACTCCAATCCTATACTTCGTTTCCTTGGAGTAAATTCTATTTACCCTGGGCTGGCTTTATTTCACTGTTAGCTCTGAAAACAATTGTGATGCTATTCAGCTTTGGAAATCTGGAATTGCTTCACAGTAATGCTGGAGTAGAGTATTAGTTAATGCTGAAGAAACTTCACTTAACCATTTGGAAATATTCTGAACATTTTTTCAGATGAAAATAGATTTTAGTGCAGAGTTCTTGTTCAGATTTAAGCTAAAGAAAAAAATTGCAGCATAGAGGAGATTGGCAAAAGTTATTATGGATGTAGTAATGGTATAACCTAAACAAATCCTTGGCAGATCTTTAAAAACTAGGCAGGTTGGACCTAAGTTAGCAAAACTGTGCAGTGCTTTTGATTGGAAGGAGCCATGTGATCTGGAGGGTGCATGGGCACTCACACTGCATTGTTCAGAAACACTTTAAAGCACGTCTTCACTTCCAGGATTGCAAAGGAGCTATAGAGGCCAGCTGTGTGAGCCCAGGAAAAGACACAGCTGCTTTAGGGCAATGTGTGTACCAATACACACTTCAAATTCTACTTTCCCCTTAAAATCTGAAGCTTTATACAACCATACCAAGTAGTATTTGGATGGAAGTCCGGGACTGTAGACTAGACTGGGAAATTGAAAAACCATCCCCAATGATGGGACTTGCAAACTACTACCATGTACAGTATATGAAGGTCCACTTGGGGGAGACTTTTCAAATGGTGTTTCATACTCTAAAGCAGAACCTCTCTGAAGTCATTTTCAGTCCATCTGCAAGAAGGCTTCTCTTTTTATTGCAGGCTACAAGTATCTCAGGGGACAAATAGTACTATGTGCCTGGGCCAGTCGAAGCGCTACCAATTATGCCAACAGCAGGTAAGCTAATCTTTCTTGAAAACATTAGATCTTCAAGAATGACTTTGATTCTTTGTGTGCTGCAGAGCCCAACTAGCAATTAAGCAAGTTTTACTTTATGGGGGCAAATGGGAAATTTGATGTGTTACTGGGATTGCCAGCTGTTGCTCAGGCACTATTTACATTTTATTGTTGCTAAACCTGCAGTATTTCCTAGCATTTCAAGATAAATAAAGGAAAAGATAATACAGTTCCTTCAAAAACTAATAGTTGGATATAATTCGTTTCTCTCATTCTCCATATTTCCTAAATCATTGCAAGGGCATATAGACTTCCTTAAATGTTCAAGAATTCAGTATTTTTTTCCATCTCATGCTTTTGTCCTTATTTTGAATAAGCAAGTGATTTAGCATAGACCATTTGCCTGGAGGGTCTGGTGTTTTTACTCCTACCTATATCTGTCAAATCTGCCTGGGGGAATCCTCCCCACAGATTTGTTATATTTTAAAAGGCAGACAATAACGTCTGATGTCAAAAGAGAGGGGTGAAATTAAGAAAAGACATTTTGCTGATTGAAATGGAGGTATCAGGTAGAAAGACAATCTACAGATGTAGCAGAAGGAAAGGGCAGAATCTCCAGGTGATGGTAGAATGGGATAACCTACTACAGGTCAGCAGTCTGAGTTAGCATTTTTAAAGTGCTTGCTTCTCCAATGAAAAGTTCTTATCAGAAGAACATTAGCCTGGGAAAGAGAATGATTCTAACATAACAATCCATTAGATTGGTCCGCCCCCCGGCAACTAATGGACCAGGATGGATTTCAGAGGGACCTGAGGGTCGTTCCTGTTGGTCTGCTGCACGGTCCATCCAAAGCCTTGGTTGCTGCTTGGGATAAGGCAGCTGAGGCTTTGGATTTGATTGCACCCATGTGACCTCTCCTCTCAGGGATCCCAGCACTCTCCATGGTTTATGGAAGAGCTGAGGGAGAGGAAGTGAGAGAAGAGATATCTAGAGGATTGCTGGTGCTCGACGAGGGACGAACATGGGTTAGAGCTGCTAGTGGCATTAGGGCGCCAAAGCGTCACTACTCCTCCACTCTTATTGCATCCACAGATAGCTGCCTCACGGCCCTGTTTTGGGTGACATGAGCTCTCCTGGGTAAGGATGACTTGGAGAATCTTCTGCAGAGGCACGCGGAGGAATTTTCCCAGCATCTGTCAGATAAAATTACTTGGATTCATTCTCAGTTGGACACTGGCTTTGTTGCAGGTCTGACGGAGATGCCTGAGGAGGAGTCTTGCCCTGTTACCTGGGAACGGTTTGAACCTGTTGGATTGAGGAAGTGGACAGGGTCCTTGGAGCTGTGAGCTCAGCCACCTGCTCTTTAGATCTGTGCCCCTCCTGGTTGGTTAAAGTGGCCCAGGGGGTGTCATGTGAGTGGGTTCTAGCGATAGTTAATGCTTCCTTTAGTGAGGGGGTTCCTTCGCCTCTTAAGAAGGCTTTGGTTCACCCCTCCTCAAAAAGACATCTCTGGACCCCCCTATACAGGACAATTTCTGTCCAGTATCTAACCTCCTTTTTGGGGGGAAGGTGATTGAGAAGGTGATTGCGCAGCAGCTTCAGAGAAGCTTGGATGAAGCGGATTACCTGGATCCCTTTCAGTTGGGATTCAGGCTTGGGTATGGGTAATTAAATCCCACTTAATATAACAAGTGAAAAGGAGGAAAGCAAAGAAAAGGACTAATGAAGGGACTCATGCCTGCTATTTATTTTCAGTTTCTTTGGTCATTAATGGTGCGAGTGGCCTCTGACCTAGTTTTGTCCTCAGCCTTTACATTTGTCTGAAAACTTCAAAATATTTATACAATTGAATTCTACCATTCAGATTGTTCGTATTTTATTTGGAAATTATCAGAAATAATTCCATGTCCATCTGGTATAAAGAGACAATAGAACAAATGCTAGGTTTATGTTTCTTTTCTCTCCAGCTTTGCCCTGCCAACACAGCCAGTTTCAAACAGCATCAGTGTGCCAGTTTCAATGCCAAGGCCTTTGGGAAACACTATTATCATTGGATGCCACTCTACCCAGGTTTGCCTTTGCTAAATTACTAAGTAGAAGCTATAGATCAAAAGACAAGGAGGTGAGAGGGTTTGCAGGACTTTGTGAAGACTGAAGACAGCAAATGTTTGTTCCCAGAAAACAAGAAAATATCCTTTGGCATTTTAAATACCACAATATATTTTAGCATGGGTTTTTACTAACTAAATCACACTGAGATGTAGCAAGCATTATATTTAGTGTGCAGACACATACATGGACACATGTACATATGCATAACATAGATATAGAGAAAAAATGTAAATGATGTAGGGAAAGGGCTACCTAATGCCATAAAAATAGGAAAAAGTTCATTTACAACAGCAGTTATAGCTGGCAACATTATTTTTTTTACCTCAACTTTTATAATTCAGTATACCAGACTTCCTCAATCAGGGGACTCTCCAGATGTCTGAATTTCAATTACTAAAATTCTCAGTCATGACCCTATGGTTAAGGGATTCCAGGAAGTAAAAGTCACAAATCTAGGAGACATCTGGGTTGGGGAAGACAGCAGTGTCATTGAGGATTCCCAAGCTAGGAAGATAATGTTATCAGGTAACTGCAGTTAAAGTTAATTTTCAAGTGGTCAAAGATAAATGACCTGATACTAGTTCTGGGCATTATAAAAACAAAAAAAGAGATAGAAACAGTATCTCCCACTCAAAAGAGAATTTCTTCTAGCTATTTACATACAGGAGACAAGAGAAAGAAACTCAAGAAACTTGAACACTGATTGTTATAAATAGAGCTTGCATTTAATACACAGCAGTCACTGGAATAATTCTTTCATAAGGGCTTCTTAGCTTTTTGCAATAACATCTGCTTAACGGAAATTGCTGGATTTTTGTGTGCCTATTTAACTGACTTCATTTCAGCCTGCTCAGAAGAAGCCTGACAACTGCTGCTATAAATGAAGTAGGGCTATGAAATTGAGTGCCATAATAAAACCATAGTCCTTAAGAGCACCAAGTTTCCTTGGAGTAGGAATGGGCAACCCTCTGGCCATTTGCCCCCACTCCAATCATTTTGTTACTGAAATTCAGTAGCAAGATGGCCAGTTTTCAGCAGCATGGGTTTTCTATGACCCGATCCCCATTAAGAGTGGAAATTAGGAGCAAGATGCATCTGGGAGGCAAACAATTACCATTTCAGCTTTAAGCCCCTCCCCCAAACAGTCTGAAATTGTATAGTTGGTCTTTGGCCATTTTACTGGCAAACTTTGCTGGCCTAATTTCAAACATATTTTAGGTTTTTTAGTAATATTGTTAAGTGTGGAAATAGTTGTTTGCTCCCAGTCCCACTCTTAAAATACCCCAAACAGTAAAAGGAATCTAAATAAAATTGATCCTCCCCATCCAGTGACATCACACATCAATGGAAAGTGTCCTGTGGCTTTCAACCATTTAAGGCAGCCATTTGCAAACTGTCTACTTCTGTTTTAGTCAGTTTTTAGTTTACATTGGAAGATAAATACAGTGTGTATGCCTCTACCCAGCAAGAGGTCTCAGGTGAGGTTTTTTCCCTAAATTAGATAGCAATGATTTTTAAAAATTATTTAATACTGAATTGGGAAATTTGTGACTCACTAGATATTGCTGAATAACAACTCCTAGCAGCCCCAATAAGAATAGGCAATGATGATGATTGCTAGGAGTTATTGTTCAGCAGTATCTGGAGGGTTCAAAATTTCCATTCTTTATTTAATTGATTTTAACATCTTCTATGTAAATCTCTTGACCCTGATTTATTGCATGCCCTCCCCGTTTGCTTTTCTCCTGTGTTTTTCTGTAGATGATTACACCAGCATCTCTAACAAGCCCTGTGATCTCCAGTGCACTTCAAGGAGTGGGGAGAGACAACTGATGGCACAAGCCCAGGATGGCACATCGTGCAAGGATAGGACTTTCCAAGGGGTCTGCATCAGTGGGAAGTGTGAGGTACAACTTTGGTCAAAGGAGCTGCTTTCTAGATTCATATATGATCCATGGGAATATTTTCACAGACACCACTGGCAGTAGGATGGCTCTTAGCATTGGGATGTGTGAGCTCAGCTTGCCAGATCCATTGACCAGCACTGGGACACAATAAGAATACACAGGGACAGTCTGCTGGATCAGACCAAAAGCCCTCCTATTTTAACATCCTTAAAACATCCAGAGGCCTTAGGGAAACCCACAAAGGCAATATAGTGTTCCCCAACTCACCAGTAGTTGGTGCTGAGATATAAGCTTTCAGAGCTTCCATTTCACATTTATGACATCTATTTTGCATTAATGTGTCTAATACTATATTTAAATTATATATGCTTTCCTTTGTGTGATGATGCTTTCATCCAGTCTATCCAATCACGGAATGTTATTGTGATCAGAGAGAATTTTTCCCATTCTGTGCATCATTTTATAGCTCCCTTTTGTGCCATTTTAAAAATCTCTAGATGAAGGAAGATGAAATTCTCAAGATCTATTTCCTGAGGTTTATGTGCAACTGAAGTGAGAGAAGAAAAGTTATGGAGTGTTATGTTGTGCTAAAACTGCACTCCAAAAGGTAATGGCGAGGATCTAAACTTTGAGCAAGGGAGATGGAGCAGAGAAAAGAAGCAAGGTTTAAAGAATAGATACAAGCAAATACAGCTGTACAGATCAGTTGAGGAAAAAAAATAAAGAGCTTGATCCAAAAGCTGAAGGGGTAAGATTTCAAACTGGCCTTTTTCTCTCAGCCAATAGGGTGCGATGGCAGCCTCTACTCTTCTCAGGTGATGGATCGGTGCCGGGTATGTGGAGGAGATGGAAGCACTTGCTACCGAGTCTCAGGCAGTTTCCGAAGGGGGATCTCACAGTTAGGTACACTTTGCTAACAGCATTGAGCTATTTCGTATTCTGCTTTTGTGACCCCCTTGCTTCTAGTTAGACAATTGAGGGGAAAATAGCATATCTTCCAAACCTGAGGCTAAAGCAAAGGGAAAAAAAAGAAAGAAAACCCTACAAGTATATAGCATTGCTTAGTACCAAAGACTTCTGGATGATATTGATCCCATCTGATGTTGTTATGGTGGAGTCTGGAGACTGAATTGGGCATCTTTTAAGAGCAAAACTGATGATGATATTCAGTAGAAATGCCGTAGTCACGTGATATGCAATATGCTTAAGAGAGAGTATATTGAAACAGAAAAGTTTTAAATGTATGACTAAAATATGAGTGAAACAAGCCTGTTTATTATAAAGATATACCTTTTCAGACTTGATGTCCTTCAGATACATTGGAATTATAACTTCCCAAAGGCCATGCTCTATAAGAATGCAGAGAATCTCATTGCCAGTACATCTGGAGATAGGTTGAAGAGATTAACTGTAAATCTCTGTTGAGTATAATGTATGGAGTGACCCAGACATTCTCAACATTCTCAGTGGGTTAGCCACTATGGCAAAACAGAAACTACGAAACTGCTTTGCAGTACAAGGTCAGTTTATCTGATTTCAGTTTTCTGATTTTTCTGTACGTTTCCCAGGATACGTGTTTATCACCAACATTCCTGCTGGTGCTACAGATATACTCATTATTGAACGAAGGAAGACAGAGAATATCCTGGGTAAGCAATCTGTATTAGACCTAAACTGATTAACCTATAGAAAATCTGGGCAAGCAGTGAAATGGAATTTTCTTCTAGTGCCAAGTTGCTGAACAGGTCAAAAAAGAGTGTGCTTAACGGACTTCTTATTTATTTATTGTTTGTTTGTTTGGTTGGTTGATGTATATAGTTGCCCATTGTATGCAACATAACCTTGGGCTGCTCACAAACAACAGTAAAACCAATAAAAGCAGTAAAAAATGTAAAAACCAACACAGAAACTCCCAGTGACCCCAACCACAACACATCTCCATACATCCATAAATAACATTTCTAAGCGTCAGCCTCACACTACCCCAGTGCTTCTGGAAAAAGCCAGGTCTTCAAGGCTTTTTGGAGGGCTAGGAGGGTAAGGGCCTGCTGGATCTCAGAGGGAAGTATGTCTTAAAGGGCATGGATGGCTACTGAGAAGGCTCACTGCCTAGGTTCTACTAGATGGCAACATTTAAGGGAAGGGATCTATGGGGTGTGCCCACCTATCAGAACGGGCAGATTACCTCAGGTAGAGGCGGTCTCACAAATAACCTGGCCCTGTGCCATTCTGGTCTTTAAAGGTGATAACCAGCACCTTGAATCACAGAAAGAAACTGGAAGTTAATGCAGCTCCTGCAGCAGCAGTATAACATAGGTCAGCTATGAGGTACCCAAAACTCCATGTATTCCAGATCTGTTGTAATTTCTGGATGTTCTTCAAGGACAGCCCCATGTAGAGCATGTTGCAGTAATCCTTATGTATGCATGTGTCTCCTAAAACAGCATTTCTCAATTTCAGCAATGTTAAGATGTATGGGCTTCAACTCTCAGAATTCCCCAGCTAGCATAAAGCCCACACATCTTAGTTGCTAGATTGAGAAACACTGTCCTAAAGGACTTTCAGACAGTAAGATGAATTGATCGATCCAAAGCACATAAATATAACTCTCCAAGCTTCAGAAGCATAAAAGAGGATATTAAAGCAATGCAATTATAGATTTTTTTAATAGAGAGGTTTTTCACTCCATAATTAAACTGCTTTTGAATGTGACTTAACTACCTTTTTATTCAAGATGGCATCTTTTTCAAACTCCTCTAGTCCATGTTAACATTTTACAATCCTGAAGTTAACCTGGACATGGGATATTTCTAGATTAATATTTTGGAATTTCTCAGGGGGGTGGGGTGGAGAAGTGTGTAACTAGGATACCATCAGGTGGTATGCCCAGTCCAAACTCCCAATGTGTGTAGCCCACATGGGACCCCTCCTGGAGATGTATCAAATATTAGGCAGATGTACTTCACCAAAGTTTAGCAATAACAGAGAGTAGTTCAGAAGTAACATACATTCCTTACATATAGATGCAATTTCCAGTATCCAGCATCAGGCAGTATTCCTGCTTGATACATCAGCAGTCTCTATATTTATTGGCATGGCTCCAACTTGTGCGACTGCAGAACTATGTAGGTCCTTGGCCTCTGTGCAGCAAAAGATACCTTTTCGTTCTTCTGAGGTGGTGATGGGGTATCTTTCCTTAGGGTAACACTGTGGCAGAACTTTCCATTTCAATCCTCTGCATGTGGAAGGAAGATTGTGGCATCTCTTTATTGACTTTGTTAAACCATAGGACCATTATGTCTCCTTCTGCTTTTACTTGGGGAGCTTGCTGGCAATGAGAACAATTGTAGGACCCTACATTGTGCAAATTATTGAGGGTGTTTTGCAATGTGGTCTTCCCTTGAAATGCACCTCGTAGCTAATTGCCTTTATGCCACTAATGGATACTTCTACATCCACCTACTCCAATCTCTGCAAGTCCACCTCTTCACGGCTGTTTATACCATGGGAAGGAAGTCAGGATATTAATCCCAATAGGCACCTTAAGGAAGAGTGTTCTTGAGATCAACGAATACGCTAAGAGTCAATGTGAGGCTACTAGAACGTGGCTACAAGCATCCAGATGACCACTAGGTAGCAACAAGGAGTTGCGGAAAACTCACTGTTTTTGCTGCCATCTAGTGGTTTTTGCAACTCAGATCTGTTAGCCTTAAGCCAGTGGGAATCCTTTTAGGTTGGACTGAGTCACTTGGCTTTCAGTTGTGTATATCTAAATTTATACTTGCACAATAGATATGTGCAATCATTCTCATTCCATCTCTGTTTTCTTGGTAGCACTAGCTGATGAATCGGGGCATTTCTTCTTCAATGGAAACTCTGCTATTGACAATCCACAGAACTTTAGAGTGGCTGGCACCGTGTTCAAATACCGCCGCCCTTCCAGTCTACATTCTGATGGTCTGGAATACATTATTGCACAGGGGCCTACCAACCAGTCTCTCAACGTCATGGTAAATAAGGGACAGTTCTGTCCAACTGCTTTCTTACTACATTTTGCGAGCATCCGGCAGTTAAATAGAACCAGATATCTAATCCAAAATTCAAGGTCATTAAACTTTTTGAAATTGAATTAACTTCAGACAGGCTGAAACTCTTTTAATCTAAAATCATATGGTTTTTGGACTAGGTCTTCACAACAGTTGCACAAAGTCTGAGGATATTTCAACAGATTTAATAAAGAATCAGTGCCTTGTCTCTAAATTAGCACCTGCAAAGATAATTTTTTCTGGGTTTCAGCCTCTCTGAACCTTAGCATATTTATCTCCTCCAGGCTTATTTCAGTCTATGAGGGCTGAAAAGACAAAGGGTAAGAGCCAGGGGGTAGGAGGAGAGAAAGCAAGGAAAAGTAATGGACAGAGAGTAAAACTGGGTTTTTTGATTGATTATATGCCATCAATTTGTTTTTGACTCCTAGTGACCACATAGATAGATCTTCTCCATGATGATCTATCCCTAACCTGTTCTTTCTGGTCTCCCAACGGTGCACTCATCACCACTGTAACTGAGTCCATCCACCTTGCTGCTAGTCATCGTCTTCTCTTTCCTTCTACCTTTCCCAGCATTACAGCCTTTTCCAGAGAATTGGGTCTTTGCATAATGTATCTGAAGTAGGATAATTTGAGCCTGGTTATTTGTTCCCCTTAAGGGTTTATCGTTGGCTTCAGTTGCTTTTTCAGAAAGTCCACTACTGCCTCCTTCTTCTGTGTAATCCCTCTCTTCCATCTGAAATGACGTATATGAGAATCTACATATTTGCTTTGTATTTTTCAAGAACAGTTTGTTCCATCCCATTTCTGTCACAACTTGCAATTCTTTTTAGTTCCAACAAAAATGCATACATAACTGGAGACAAAAATGTGTTGGGCAGCACAATTAAATACTTCTCAGGTACATTCAGGATAATTTCTTCATCTGTTTTAAACTGTGTGTACTAATTTTCTTACACTTAGTTTTTTCAACCAGCAATAAGTAGCAGGCATGTTTAAAGGGTCAACCCCTGTCTTTTTCATGATTTCAAATTTGTCACGACACAACCTTTCTTATATTTCAAACAAGCCATCTTTACTGTCATAAGTGCTTTATGGGTTTACAGGGATTGAATCCACAGCCAGCACACTGTACCTCTTGATTTTTCCCCCTTCTTTTTATTAGCAAAAACAAGACAAGCTTTTAGTTTCATTTTCAGAGAACAATTCAGGAAGTATTTCATTACAGCAGCTAAGAAAGCTAGATTCATTTGCCCACTCTCTTGCCTCACTACAATCTTTTTATAAAGTGTGTAAAGTAATAATACGAATGCTTTTTTTATGTGCATCTGCCAAGCATTTTAAAGTTAACGACTTTCTCTATTGGATACATGTTCAGCCTACAGGGTTAACTAAATAGTACTGTGATTTCTAGGTTCCTACCTAGAATTAAATAAAGGGGATAATTATGCTGGCTGGCTGGCATTCTGTCTCAGGCTGGCAAGACCTGTTCCATTTCTCTCTTCAGCCTCCCATGGAAGCCATCTGTATTGAGGAGAAATGTTCCTTTGGCACCTCCTCTTCTCTGTGACCCTTGGGCCAGTGAAACCAATATGTCTTCAGCAGTTCAAAACTGCTAGTCCATCTCAGGATCAACAGCCATCTTTTTTTTTCCTCCCAGAAATTTCTCTTTAGCTCTCTAAATACAACAGTTCCCCCCCTCCCCACTTTTCCTAGGGGAGAATTTTCATATTTGTGAGAAAGCATGCTCTTTCCTCTATTCTCAGCTTCCACTATAGTTCACAAAAAAATCCAGTGACAGGAATTTGCAACCTCCTCAGTTTCCAGCTTCTACTAATATTGCAAGCTCACAAGATAGGATGGCAAAGAGTCTTAGGCTGTGACATATTGTCACAGTTTGGATCAGGAGTAGGCAATTTTAATTTGATGGGCACATTCGGAATTTTGAGCATGGGTTCTAAGGATGTATAAGCACTTCTAACTATACAGAGAAGGTGAGGGGACCACATACTTCATGTTCATCTCAATCAAAAGTAATTCCAGGACAACCTATCTAAGAGTAAAATTGTAATAATCACCCAATCATAGAAGCAGATGGAGAAGCAAGACTTAGAGAAAACCTTTAGAGAGAATCATACTGTTTTTAGATAGAAAACACAAAAGACCATGAAGGAAGTGTCTATATCTTGCCAAGGTTTGAAATTCACCTCATTATATCCAAAAAGAACTTGGTGACTATAGAACCTCCTCTCTCAGGTATCATTGTAGGGAATTTAAGAGGGTGGTCATCTGGTTTGGAAACAGGAAGTGGCATGGTTGCTCATTCTTGAATTTGTTCCTGATTCCTTCTCCCATGGGGATTCTTAGGAAAGCAAAGTTTGGGAGGACAAATGGAGATGAGGAAAATGTTATCTTCAAAGAGGTACTCTGGGAATTCCCTCTTAGATCTGAAATCTAGTAGATTTGGGGGCTATGAAACCTGAGTAGATGTGCAAAATGTTTCAAGCTTGAAATACCTCTGGTTATTTAAACCTTATCTTACCAGAAATGCTGTTCCAATCCTTGCGGAAATGTTCCAGTCTCCCAACATTTTAAATGAAAATTTGGACTTCCAAACATTTTGCACACCATTACATCTGATTACTGTATACAATTGCTATGGGAAGAGTCTTTCTCAGAGCTGTTTGGACTGCAGTAGAATCTTGCACAATTTAAAAGTGAGAGTTCACTGGATTAAGCTTAGTTATTTTCTTCTCTTTGTTAAAAGTACTACAATTTCAATGGAAAAATGCCACATGTAACATATGACTACACAGTGCCCAGAGGACTGTCACCAGCTGTTCAGACAGTTCCGCCAGCCATCAAGATGCCTCTCTATCTTCACTTACCACAGCCTAGCCAAAATTACCAAGATGCAGTTTCATCCATTTCCCAAGATTTCAATGCTACTTGGATCTCTGTTGCACCAGATGACACGAGAGAAGAACGTGGGGGTATGACCTTCAATAGCCAGAACTTCTTCCCAAGTAACTCCACTGCCCAAGGTAAAGAATGGGGCTGGAAACATGGGGCAAAGGAGGAAAGTCTCAGTTTTCAGTTCCAACAATTTTATCATACAAGTGGAACAAGTGAAGATGAAGAAGTGACAGCTGACAAAGAAGCAGATCTGGGTCAGTATTCTTTCATGCTTATTTGATCAATCATCTACAACTTTGGTGGGGAGTGGTTGGTGAGAGATGTTTCAAGTGCTCCACAGAGACAACTCACAGTGTTTGCTTACACTGGACATGTTCTTAATTATGCAATCCTTTATTCTTTTCCATATTCAGGTTTTTTATTTGGAGATGGAAAACTGAGGGGTGGGGTTCTTTTTGACAGTGAAAAATGGGACTGGCAGAGAAATAAACGTGCTTATGTGGAATGCTGTGCTAATTTTGTAAAATTGAATGACATTTTGAAAAATTAATACTGAAATTTAGTTCTCAGCATGACTTCATTGCAGTGTCTTTTGATCTAAATCAATGTAAACATATATATTCAGTATATATTGAATATTGTTCTAAATCAATATTCACTATAGTTTTTTATTGATTTAGTCTCTTGATCTAAATCAGTGTAAACATTGATACACACACACACGTAGACTGCAATTTATAATAATTGTAAAAATACCCAAATCCTGAACATTAACATTTCATAATATTTAAATTAAAATTCAGATAGCAAAAGTCACATGCTTTCAATTGTCAAATCTAAGATATAAGGGCTATACATGCTTTGAAAATGATTTAGAAGAAGTGCTTTGGACCTTGTGGAAGTACAGTATATCTCTGCTCTTCATTAAAACAGTATCTTTTTGCAGATTTCCACATGTGCCTGGAAAAAAAAGATGCAGCTGATTTATTGAATAACAGAGGTGCTATGCTTGCCTAAGGTTCAATGTGCTTTATTTTCAAAGAGAGCAACACATAACAAGTTGTACATTTAAATTGCACATTGCAAATTAAATTTCAAATATGAGGCAGATTATCTCTGGAACTTTTCTGTTAGTATGTTTGGTAGCTTGAAATGAAAGTTGGCAATTTTTCTGTGCAGTCATGAAAGATAGGAAAGAAAGATTATAATGCCTAAAATTTGTAACAGATACAGAAACTAGATTATTCATGGTCCAGTGAGGGTGATTCCAAGTGTTTGGGGGGACAACATGCTTTTAATGGTAGAAAGTAAACTATGAAATAATTTTCTGGGCCTCTGGGTTCATTTTCATGCATTTCCCTTAAGCCCTCAGACTCAATAAGATTATGATCAGCACAGCCATGCCCCGTGGTGCAGCACGATTTGAACTCCATGAAGCCAATAGGATTAGTCCATCTCGACTCCATCTCTTCAGGTCATTGTGTCTCCAGAATCCACAAAATGCTGCTTTTTGTAGGGCATTGCATTACATGGCAGCCAAACTTGGGAGAAAGAATTCAACAGTAGGGTTGTGGGGTCGTGCAACAATCAAATGGCCAGAAAGACTGCACAAGCAACCTGCAGAAAAGAACTTCCCAGACAAAGTGAATCTTGACCCTTTTGCAGTGAATGAAGCAACAAACGACACTTTCATGGCAACTTCTTCCAACCCCAGTTCCAGCTCCAGGATTCCAACTAGCTTTGAGAACAAGCAGCTGTCAGAGCCTCTTCAAGCTCCTGGTGCTGAAAGGTGGGAAAGAAAAGTGGATTCGGAAGAAAAGGGCCGAATGTTCTCAGGAAAACAAGTGATGTAATGTAAAAGGAGAGTATTTAGGAGGAACCTTAGCTATGGAGCAAGCTTGGCTTCCTCTCAAATTCTTCATTTGGAGGAGAGCAAACTGAATTCAATCTTGCCTCAGCCCCAAGATTAAGATGCACTACTTGTTTAGATTAGCCAGGAAAAAAACCCTCTCATCTGCCTTCATTATTGTTTTCCCAGCAAATCTAAGATGACAGCCCCATTTTAAAAATAAATTATTTTGGGGAAAACCTAGACATTATTTCAACTAAATACAGTATTAAAAAAATTAACTACATGTGGCTCTTCAAATGACTCCTAGTTTTAAATGGGTCTAAAGCAGTTTTTTTTTCTATACTTGGGAAATCTGAGGGAATCTTCATTCTTGAATTTGATTCAATTAGTAGATTGGATTATTTTTTATGTATGTGAATATCAGAATTATCAGCCAAACCATTGCTCTGATTGGAAGAGGTGCAGTTAAAGTAGCCATTTATACAAGATGCAAAAGCTAGCCTCCTCCATGATTGAGTATTTCTATTGCACCAGTATTGATGCAACCAGTATTGCATCAGTTTTGATGTGGAGATACAGTGCTATTATACAACCTTAGTGGGGGCTGATTAGAACATTGCACATAGGAGCAGTAAATCATGCAGAGACACAATGGGAAGCCTCTTCCATGGGGAGGACCCTGTTAGTATTTAAACTGCATATTTTTTGATGCAGGCTAGCATGCCATATACTTGAAGAACTAAAGGATTAAATTCTGGACAGGCCCTGCATCTATGACAGTCTGTAGATAGGCAGACTGTTGGAGGAATAATTAATATGTTGCCATCTGGAGATTCCTTTTAGCCTCTGTGGAAACCAGGGAAGGACAGCAAAGATTTCCCTTCTGGTAGTAAATAATCCATCCAGAAATTTACACAAGCTAGTTTCTTTTTTTTTCCCCCTGCAGCAATGACTTTGAACTAAGTCCCCTTGGCCATGATGAGATCAGCTTGGCTGACATGTATCGATGGAAGGTCTCAGCCTACGCTCCTTGCAGCTCCACATGCACGTCAGGTGAAATAACACATAGTTTTGGATACTATAAGGGGCAGTCAGTTTCTAGCATGTAGAAGGGTCCATATGACAACTTTTCCAGAAACAACCAGCAGTATTAAACTCCGTATTTGCTGTACATTTGTGTTTGTTCTACCTCTAAATGTGTTCTTTTCTTCCTCTTACTGCGAAAAACACCATCCCTGCTGTTTGATGTTACTTTATTATTGTATCAGGTGAGATGTGTGAGCCGTTGTAGGCTCCTTGCATGTATATAATAGAATTGTGTTCCTCTTTAGCTTTTTAGTGTATTCTCCAACAGCTCAGGAGCTGTAGTGCAGATGGGTTTAATTATTACTCGCATTGTTCTTATTAATTTTAAAGTCTTTTTTCCTGCATGAATTTTTATTAAGTCTGTGTGAAGTGGTTTGCTTCCACAAGGAGCTTCAGGCTGTGAACGTGATGTGATTCTCTTTTTTTATATATATATCTATAATTTTTATTAAAGATTTTTTCAAACAATAAAAGACAAATCTAAAAGAAAAACTAGGAGAAAAAATAAGAAAAAGAAATAAGAAAAAGAAAGTGCAGAAAAGAAGAAAGGAAAAAGGAAAGATAGAAAAAAGAATAACTAAGAGAACAAAAGTCAGACAAATAAGTGACTTCCAACCTTCTTTGCAACAGAAATTAATAAACTTATCCAACCTCCCTCCTTAATATTACAAAAATCCCTTCAGCCCTTTGTTTAGTTCTTTTTCATTCATCAAATTCATAAATTGCTTCGCTTTTCTCTGTTTTCAGCAAAAAGTCCATAAAAGGTTTCCAATCTTTTAAACAGATACTTATTGTTTTATCCCTGACCAAACGGGTCAGCTTTTCCATTCCTGACAATTCCGACATCTTCACAACCCATTCCCCCATTGTGGGAGTTTCAGTATGCCTCCATTATTGTGCATATGATAGTCTTGCTGCAGTTACCATGTACAAAGTCAATCTTCCGTGAGTTTTTTTCTAATTGGCTATCCATAAATCCCAGTAAGAAAGTCCAATGATGTGATTCTCTTCATTAAGCAACAAGGCTGTGTGATCTGCCTTGGTGAAGCACTTTGTGCTGTCCTGAAGCTTCTCACAGTGTCTTACCTGACACTTGCGAAAGCTGGAAGAGGCTTCTGTGCAGCTCTGCACTTGGACGGGAGTCATTTCTGGCTTTGGGCAGGCAAGGCAAAGAGGCTTGTTCCCCAACACAGCTTGCCCTCACTTTTGATGGGTGATGCCAAAGGCGAGCACTGCACCTTCCACCACCATAGCGGAGGTGGGCAGCATGTCCTCTGGCACCACTGACCAAGCTCTTGGCAAGTGATGCCAGAGAAGGTTAGCAGCACCTTCTCTGGCAGTGCTTGCCAAAACGTGGGTAACTCTGCCAGAGAAGCTTTCAGGGGCTGCAGAGGAGAGCAGAGTGCTCATAGGGTCCGTTGGAGTTGGGCGGCTAATCAATTCAAATAAATAATAGAAGCAAAGTGGCCAAGTTGCTTTGCAAAGCATCTTTGAAGGAGTGCATTGCTTAAACCTTCAAAGATCTGCATAGTTCTAATTCTTTTCCCAACATTAACTACTACCGTAGCTTTAGAGCATTGTGCATCTAGTGATTGAACCATTTTAATTATCCCAAGGGACTTGCATTTTAATATATGTATTTTTTAGATTTTTTTTTTCCTGCCTTTATTATTTTTATAATACCTAATACTCCTTCCTCCTCCTATTTTCCCCACAACAATAACCTGTGAGGTGAGTTGGGCTGAGAGAGAGTGACTGGCCCAAAGTCACCCAGCTGGCTTTCATGCCTAAGGCAGGACTAGAACTCGCAATCTCATGATTGCTAGCCTGGTGCCTTAACCACTAGACCAAACTGGCTCTGGGTTTCCTTCAGAAAGTTGGGAACATATATTCCTGTCAGCTCTCCAAGGTAGACCAGACTAGGAAACCAAGGTCACACAAGCTAATACAACTTTTATTATAAAGTTACAGTAACAGAATCTTGCAAGTCTGAATGTGCTTACCCCCTCCCTCCTTTTATCTTCATGAGAACTAGGGAGGGTCTTTTCTTTCATCTCACCGCTGTCTTGGTAACAGCTCTTCCTCCTGTTCCTCTAGTTATTCCTTCTGCCCATTGCATCTCCTTATGGAAAGAAGGTGCTTTCTCACAGAACAAGGAGAAAATATCTTTCTCCCTTTTGAAGAAATCCCTACTTTCTCTCTTTGCATGAGACCTAGAGATGTGGGGGAAAACAGCCACTTGCTGCCTCTTTGGACTATAGTGAAGCACCTAGTCCTGTAGGGTAGCTAATGATGATTTAACTTTGCTGTGGATCCAGGGATCAGCACCTCCTATGCTATGTGTGTCCGCTATGATGGAGTGGAAGTGGAAGAAGCCTACTGTGATGCATTGACTCGTCCTGAACCCACCCATGAATTCTGTGCAGGCCGAGAGTGCCAGCCTAGGTGAGTGGAGAGAGCCAGCTCTTGTGAAAGCATTCTGGAACCTGTGTGATGTATGTGCAATTTGAATACTAAAATTGAACTCTATAGCTTCAGGCTGGCAGAAGAGAATGTGAAATATTTTTCTGTCCCTTTTGTTCCTTGTGGAAATGCAGATGTATAAATGCTATGGAAGTTTGAAAGGTTTTGAATTTGGAGGGGAACAAAAGTTCCTTATGGAGTAGACAGAATTGTTCCTACAAAAGGAAAAAAATGAGAGGCAACTGCATTTTATTTTAACTCTCAGTGTGGAAAAACATTTTGTGGAGCGGGCACAGGATGGATACGCTGCATTTTAGACTGCATCCCACCTGTTACTTTTTTCAGAAAGAGAAATAGTTTATTCCACATTAATGTTCCCGCTCTAAAACAGGATTTCCTTGAAATTAATCCTGTTAATTTTGATGAACTGATACATTGATACCAAATTCAAATTACAGTGAGGCAAAAAGCTTTCAAGAAAGCTAAAGTAACATAATGCCTTCATGTTCACAGGAGAAGGATGTAAGGCAGCGTTTTTCTGTAATACTCCAGGCCCCCAAATAGCTTCTGAGAGACACTTCCATTAGGTGGCTTCAGTCCTGAATCATTATTGGTAATCTTGATCTAATACATGAGCCTTTTATGAGTAAAATGTGATGCCTTTTCCAATAAAATCCCACAAGGAAAGCCTTGCTCTATATTCCAATTAGGAGTAAAGTTTGTATCTTACTTTCACTGAACACCACCCCACCGTCATTTGTTATCTGCTCAAGGTAGAGTACATTTTGGTGCTGACAACAGAACTTTTAAAAAAATCATTTTTGTGCACAGTTAAGATTGCAGTTCTGTATATGATTATATAGCCTTTGGAGAAGAGCTGAGCGCCGCTGTTATCCATTACCTTCTATCTCCAGACTTTTCTTTTCACACTCAGAAAAAAGTGAGCATATGGACACTGCTTATATGTGCAGATAATGAAGAGAGCAGGGAAAAATACTATACAATAATGCCTTTCCTTCCAGCAACAGCAATGGGAATGGGTGAACCTGGCTGTAGTGTCATTATAATAAATCCTTAGGGAAGGATCCTTATGGTTTGGAACTCTGAACAGTCCCAAACCTCCCTATTGCTGAGGGTTTTTCCCCCCCCTGCATTGAACTATGCCCAAACTGCTCTTCCCTTCTCTTGCCATTGCTTCCTGTGTGGAGGTGGGAGACCAGCCAGTGGAGTGAGTGTTCGAGAACTTGTGGTGAAGGTTATCAGTACCGAATTGTGCGCTGTTGGAAGATGCTGGCTCCAGGCTTTGATAGTTCGGTCTACGATGACATGTGTGAGTCAGCTGGGCTAACCAGGCCTATGGAACGGAAATCGTGCAAGAACAAAGTTTGTGGGCCGCAATGGGAGTTGTCAGAATGGTCTGAGGTATGTGGCTCTTGGACAGGGTTAACACAGACAAAAAAAGAGCTTGCAACAGATTTAGATAAGATAGTGCCCTCCAGATGTTTTAAACTCTACCATTCCCTTGCTGTTAGTCATGCTGGCAAGGGTTGATGGCAGTTGAAGTCCAAAACATATGGAGAACATGAAGATGCTTATCCTTGGCTTTCAATGTGGATTTAAGGAAACAGTTAAGTGTGCAAAGATGCAACTGAATGTCTCTGTTAGACACCTGAGTTTAGAAGCAAGTGCAGATAGGGTGGCTAGATGCACAAAAGGACAGGGCACTAGCCTCCTTGCTTAGCTGTGCAGAAGAAGAAATGTTAGCAGGTATACTTTATCATGAAATTTTCATCTGATAGTAAAGGTGCAAGAGTCCTGCTCTTTCGTATTTGGCCACTGATATTTTTTTCCCTCTTCCTTAATTGAAACACAGGGCTAAAATCTATTTTAAAGAAGGGTACCAGTTGTTAGCCTTTAAATTAAAAAGTTGTATAATATTGGCCCACATGATGGTCTCAATGTTTTGCAGACATGGTCTTAATCCTGGGTCCACACAAGTTGTGGCAAGGCAGGATGAGCTACAAGTGTGAGGACCAAGGTATTATTATTCATTTACATTTTCCAAATACGTTCAGTAAATATCTTAGTTGCTGTTTGGTATAAACTAGTGACTTGGCGAAACTGTTGATTAAAAGAAAGAAAAGCAGCAAGTGCCTTACCCTTCTCCACTGTCCCTGTAACCAGTGCAGTAGCTTCACAAAGGATTTTCATTTTTGAAAAAAGTTCAACAAACGTCTGTGAAGATACGTTATCAAACTTTCCTTGTAAAAACTTATTTGATCCCATGTGAACTTTAAATATAACAGTGCTAGGCATTGGCATAAATCATTCAGGAAACTAGAAAAAGAGCTAGAAAAACTACCACCTGCCCTCATCCAGCTCTTGTTCTCTCCATTTTACTCTCCATTTCAAATTACTCAAAAAAGTGGAGAAGAACTGGAAAATTTCGGGGACAAGGAATATCAACTCTGTGCAGAAATTATGATTTCTGTGGAATAATCTGCATGTCTAGCCTAGTTCTTGAGCAGGTTGTAGCTGAAGTCCATCTCAGGTATGGATCAGTGAGGACACAATCTTGGCAGGTTGGAAGTCAGGCACAATCTTTGGTTTGTGTTCAGGTGGTAAACTGCAAATTGGATGGCATTATTTTCCCTAGTTTGGCTGGGGACTTGAGGATCAAGAGAGTTAATGCTATAGTAGTAAGACACTGAAGATTAATTGTGAGGGATTTGGTTTGAGATCTCACACCATACCTTATAATAGATGTACCTTCCTGCCTTCCTGCATCTACACATATATTTTATCTCACCTGTGATACCAAGCTTTTTGTCTGAAATTGTGAAGACAATCAACCTTGCTATTAAGAGAAAGGAAGAAAGAGGGAGAGGGAGAGAGAAAGGCTAATTTTCAGGACAAAATTTAGCTGAAAGGTTATCATATAAAATTGAACTAGCATGGTCCATGAAGACTGCGCTACTCCAGGAAACAGGGCTGGCCCAAACTCCCACCTTGTCGGTAAAGTCCACAGTAATGGAATTACTGGTGCTGAAAAGCTGCTGCCTGAGGCACCTTCATTCTGCCCTTGTCAGGAAGGCATGTAGAAACTGACCCATGAATTCTTAGCATTCATCACTTGAGTAATAGTCATAATATTTGAGTAGGGCAGAAGAAAATGTGATGGGTAAACTTGGCCATAATGTGATTTTATAACTTGTCTTCATCATTGTTGGCACATGTCATGATCTTTTGTCTTTTCTGGTTCCCACTTCTCTTCCCATCTTTATACAGTGTTCTGCTCGGTGTGGTGGTCAAGGGACAATGAAAAGAGAAGTGCGCTGTTCGTTCGAACCCAAACTGTGCAATGAATCCACAAAGCCTGTCAACGAAAGAGAGTGTTTAGGTCCCCCTTGTGACAGGCACTGGGCTGCCTCTGATTGGGGACCAGTGAGTGATTTTTTTTTTTTTTGGTAGATTTCATTAGAGTCTTCATGGAGTGGGGTGGGGCTGGAAATATTCTAACTAATTTTAGAAAGCCATGGAGATGGTCTTGGAGCAAATATTCAGAAAATGTTACACAAAAAGGACAGAAGCATTCCATAAGTCCTGGGAAGGAAGATAGTATTAAGAAAAGACTCAGAATGACTCCTTCCTGTCTTACTGGGGTATAAGAGGGATGGGAGGAGAAGCATAATCAGACTTGCAAAATTCTGTTATTATAGCCTATCTCATTAGTTCTAATCTTCCTGTGGGATTGGTTTCCCAATCTGACTGACACTAAGTCTAGTCTCGTCTCGTCTGAAACTATTATAAAAAATCATGAGGCCTACAGGCATCCTTTCAAAAGTAGATGACCTCTATGAAGACCAATTCTGCATGTCCCATGTATTTGCCCAGATACTTCTAAAAACGTGCCAAAAGTCTTAGTCATACTGTATGTCAGATACCGCTCCATCTAGATCAAAGGTTGCTGCTAAACCCAGTTATCTTGAAAAGTCTCTTTGTTTCTTCAAGTGCTCAGGTTTGTGTGGTGAAGGGCGGACGAGTCGCTTGGTCACGTGCCGCAACGTGGAAGGGAAGTTGATCTCAGAGTCCCAGTGCAATCCCAACACCAAGCCCCTGGCAATCTACCCCTGTGGAGATAAGAACTGCCCTGCCCACTGGGTCGAGCAAGAGTGGGACCATGTGAGTTGGCACCTGATCACACCATCTCTTGAAGTTATTGCTGCCAGCCCAAAACCAAAATAAAAGTTTGGTTCCGGTCGGAGAGAGTGTCCACTGGCTAAGTCAATCAAATCACTTCAGTGCTTTGTTTTCATCTGTATTTCCATTGTGCAGTTTCAAAGCAGGGATTCAGATAGCAGGTCCTTCTATCTATCTATCTATCTATCTATCTATCTATCTATCTATCTATCTATCTATCTATCTATCTATCTATTCATGCACTTTCTATAGCCACCCATCTCTGGGCGGCCCCAGTGTCAGTTTGGGGTTGACAAGACAGATTTTGGATTGTTTCAGCTCCTTGACTATAGATGGCCTGGGGAATAGTTTAGCAACTCCTAGACAAACAGGGATTGGGTGATACAAGGACGTTGTACAAAACACTGATGCTTACCTGGCCCCCTCTGAACTGCTCCTAGATTGCTATTCAACGTTAAGCCACCTGCCTGTTTCTAAGCCATCAACCCTGACAGGTAAAAGGAAAAGCCAGTAATGTATGCAAAGAATTTGCAGAAAGATCATGATTCCTCTCATTTTCTCCATTCACCTACTAAAACCAGTTCTGCCTCCCTTTCTTCTCTTTCTCATCCAGAATTAGCCTACCCATCAGCTGGTAGCTTAGGGAGAAACAAACCTCTTTGACTGGTATGCAGAGGAACTACTGTTTATTCTGCACTTCTTTTTTACCTAGCTTAATTTTTCCTTTTAGAGTAGAACAAAGATCTAAACATGAAAGATAAATAAACAATAAAATAAAAAACAAACATGTAACCTCTAGCTTCTTGAATGGCATGAAAATATACAGTAAATATAACTGGTTCTGCAGTAAGAGGAAACAGAATTGAAATTGGGACTATATTGGGTTATTGCTACCATTTAAATATTTAAAACATTAACTTTATCTTCAGCAAACCTCTTGCATTTTTTCAGCCCCAACCCACTGTATTTTGCATTAGTTACTGACAGCCTTGCAAAGTAAGGGAATGACCCCATTGTGGGTTTGTCATGCAGATGCTGTTGCTTTCTGACGCTGATGGAAAAGAGTGTGTTGCTTTCTCCATTGCAGTGCAATGCCACATGTGGTCGAGGAGTCAAGATGCGGACAGTGCTGTGTGTGGGACTAGAAAATGGCCTGTACAAAGAATACCCTGAGAAGCGCTGCAAGGCTTTTCCAAAGCCAGAAACGCAAGCACCGTGTTTCCAGAGACCCTGCTCCACGTGGTTTTCAACCTCTTGGTCTCAGGTAGCTGGAGAAGCTGTGGCGACACGGGGAGGAGGACAGGACTGGTGGAGCTTGGAACAGGATTGAAGGGAAATGGCAGGAAAGATTGCCCTGCACAAACCTCAGTAGGAGACAACAGGGGGGCTCTGTTTCATTCATTGAGATTCCTAGCACTGCTTTCCAAAGCCCTGTTTGTTTAAAGTTTGGAGATACCATCTTTCTGAAAACTGTTCTGGCAGTTACCCACCATAAAATACGATAAACACTTATAGCACTATAAGTTTCAAAAGCGTGGATTTATGCTTTTTGCAAAAGCACATGGGGCTTGACTGCAGCTCTAAAAGGGAGCATGCCCTCTTATTTGGGGGTGAGGCACGTGACAACCCCATCATTTGTGCCTGGCAAACTGTACTCTACTCTGATCAAATGAGCTCACAGGTATCCCTGTCCAGAGCCTGATGCAATCCTCTTAAAGAGGGGACCAGGACAGAGGCAACTCTTGCTGGATCAGGAAAGATAAACATGACTGGACAAACCTATAACTTGCCACCACTGCTACTTAGAGATCCAACAATCTGACAAAGGAATTGTGCAAGCGTTCCTGACTTTGGTACACCTATAGATGTTTAAATGTGGTCCCAGGATTAAATTAATTTAATTTATTTTCCTCTAGGCCTTTGGTGAGGGAGAGGGAGACCCCTCACTTCATTGTGCTTGCAATCTTTTATCTTTATTTTTTATTGATTTTATTGTAATTTCTTTGTTGGATTGCTGTGAGCCACCCAGAGTCATTGAGAGTTGAGTGGCATACAAGTTTAATCATTATTATTATTATTAATAATAATAATTAAAAGTATTAAAAAATACTAAATTAATACTAAATTAAATATACTAAATTACTAAATACTAGTAGTATTTACTATTTTAGTATTTACTATTACTACTAGTAATAGTAAATATACTAAATACTAAATTAAATACTAAATTAAAAATACTAAATTAAAATATACTGGAAAATGAAGCATTGCTACAACTTTCTACCAGTTTAACTCAGGCACTCATGCTTACCCAAAGGGACACCACTCTTGAGGATAATTATGGAGCAGCCCTGGGGGACTTCCTTTTATGCTTCTTTTGGTTGAGCTTTCCATTTCCCCATCCCTTGCAGTGCAGCAAGACCTGTGGCACTGGCCTGCGTTTCCGCGAAGTGAAGTGCTACCAAGGAGAAGCCTTAGGCCAAGGCTGTGAGTCAACATCCAAGCCTGAAGCCAGGCAGGCTTGCCAGCTACAGTTGTGTCCCACCAATGCTCCAGGTAAAAAGCAACATGTCGGGGCTCTGGCTGAAGGGAGTAGAAAGTCTCACAGCTCTTGGTTCAACAGGGCCCTTGGGGAGTGTGCTGTGAAGAAGTGGATGGGACTTAAAGCAGTCAGCACTAGGACCACTTATAATGCTAAGCCATGATGTGGTTAATTGGTTGGTTTGAAGCTTAGTGCAATAGGTGAACCCAGTTAGTGAGTCACAAAAAAGGTGGCCAGGCAGAAGGCCTTGCAGCTGCCAGTAGCCAGTTTCTGAATTGGGGAGGACTGGCAGGCACACAGAAAGAAAGGGGCAGCAAAGACCCAGCATGCCAAGAGGCTTATAGAAGAGGCCAGCTCAGAGGAGTGAGATCAAAGGAAGAATTGGAGAAGGGGAGAGGGTGAAAGATGTGTGTGCCTGCAATAAGGAAGGTTGCACACACTGTATCATCTGAAGTCAGCAGTATTTTTGAAATACCAGTTCATATTCTGGTGAGGTAGCCCAGCAACAGGATTCAGGTGACCAACCCTCTATCTAACCCTTGTGTTGTGTTGTGTTGTGTTGTGTTTCTTCTCTGCAGATGAAGATTGTGATGACAAAGCAACAGCTAACTGTGTGTTGGTCCTGAAAGTAAAGCTTTGTTCACACTGGTATTACAGAAAGGCTTGCTGCAGGTCTTGTAGGAGCAAGACACCCTGATTTGGCCCCTGCTTCTTCAGCTTCAGAATAAGAAGCAAAGCATTCATAAGAGACAAACTAGATGGAAGCCTGCCTTCTCGACCAGAAAGAATGGTGCCTGATCCTCATAGACAGTCCAGAACATTGGTCCGCTTACTAGAAACTTTTACGTTGCTGTAAAAATGACTGATTACAGGCCTTTTCATTAGGGGGCCTGCCCCTGTATATTGCGCAGGTGACCTAATAACCAGACTCCTTGATGCCATTCACAGGCATTTTGTAATGCTGAGTAATATTAAAATCTCTGCTTCCCCATTTCTTTAAATTCCTGGGGCTGGATGTACCACTGCTTTCCCTGATTGATTCTGAATTTCAGTGGCATCACCTGACATTGTTCGGAGGCTACACACAGCTTGAGATGCGCAGCTTGCCCAATGTTGCTTTAGCATCCCCCTGTACTTTGACAATGTTGCCATTTCATCCTTTTGTACACCTAGGCAAATTCCAAGCTTAACGTTTATATCATGTTTTAGACCAGCATTTCTCAGCCTTGGCAACTTTAAGATGTGTGGACTTCAACTCCCAGAATTCCTGGGTGGGTAATTTTGCAAGTCAAAGTCTACACATCTTAAAGTTGCTAAGGTTGAGAAATACTGTTTTAGATCATACACAACACTTCACTTACGTTAAGACATAAAATGAAATCCAGTGGTGGGCCATCTAATCCAGAACCTGGTTTCTGACTTTGCACCTAAGTGGCTGTAGGGAAGCCCACAAGCAGAATATAAAGACAATAAAAGGTAAAGACTCTTTTGTTTCCTGGTGACCTCATGGGCACAACTGTTCTTGCCAAGTGGTTTGCCGCTGCCTTTTTCTGAGACGTTTTTCAATTTCTGAAACTATCCTATAGGCTTAGTACTCCCTGATGTCTTCCATCCAAATATTGACCAGGGCCAGTGCTGCTTAGCTTTTCCAGATTGGCCAGGGATTGCCCCTAAACAATTCATTTTCAGAAATACTGTAGGTTTCCCTAGAAAATGCAAGTTTCATTTAGCTATCATAGTCAATATAATCTGGGGCTTACTGCATTTATCCAAACTGTCTACAAGCATTTTTACACTGGTCTTTGGCATTGGCCCAAGAACCCGCACTGTTGTTGCCACCAGGCAGCTAAGCTAATTTGCTTCTAGCCCAGCTGTGGTTCAGGAAGAGTCACAGAACTTCCATTTTGAAAGGACAACACTATTTTAGGATTCTTGGAGGGGCAGGAAGCCCTGCTTCATCCTGGTTCCTTGGCTCTCTCCACATCTGCTAAGCATCCAGTATCCCCACATCAGGCTTTCTAGAAAGAGCAGAGGGGCAGCACTGTGGCTGGCTTGGTTTGTTTTTTTCTACTCTGTAAAAGAAAGGCAATGTTGGTTGCAGGTTGATTCCAAATGCTGCAGTTTGCTGGAAGGAGTACTTTCTGTCTTATCTAAAGTTATTATCCGCTATGTTGAGGACAACTGTAGGCAATTGTACAACTTGTTCACTGGGGAAAGAAGAGAGTAGCTATGTGGAAGTGCTCTAAGTGAAGTGCCAGCATTACATTCTTTTTTAAAAAAAGCAGTAATACAGAACATTATCCTCTGATTGCCAATGGAGGAAGAGACTGAGATAGTCTGGCTTTCTGGAAGCCACCTGATCCATTCATGAATTCAGAAAGAACAAGGAGAGAGCACTAGTGCATGGATTCTGTACCTCCTGTACCTCTTGCCATCCCTGTGCCTTTCCACAGGGAAGTTGGAAACTCATGGGATCATCTTGAGAGGTACAGTCTGTACACAACTGAACAAGTAGCGCTTGGGGCTCAGGATAAACACTACAAAGGAAGGAAAGTTAGGGAAAAGTGGATGGTTTGAATAATAGCACAGAACAAGTCACCAGTCTTCCATCCACAAGGTCAATTTTTTAAAAAAAATCCAAGTGGTGGCAGTTAGTGATAAAAGAGGCTGACATCAGAATTTGAAAGGAGGGGTATTTTCCAATGCTCCTGGGAAATCAGAATAAGGTGTTAAGTCTAGGGTGATAAGCTGGGCCTTCTAAAAACATCTGCAATGGCAGAGATACCCTTCTCCCCAGAGAAGCATTTCTAGCTGGGTAGTAGCTGGCCCAAACAGGCCTTGTGGATCCTTGCCTCCTTTAAGGTTGGTGGTGTCACTGCATCACACAAAGCCATTTTTGCCACTTCCTGGCAAAACCTTTCTGGCCAGCTCAGAGGCCAGGCAGTTTCATACAGCTTGTCTATGTTCTGAGCTTCAAAAGATCTTATACAATTAGATCAGATGATACACAGGCTTTCTGAGGATCATGTGTCAAAAGCAGTTACAAGTAGAATGATCTTCTTTTATACTTCACATTTACATACATCTTCACTTGAAAGGCGATGAAATCAAATCTGGTTGAAAGCTAAAGAACTCTAGTGGGGGCCTTCAACTGACCTATCAATAGCAGACTGAGTAGTACATCCATCACCTGTTCATAGTCTTCCCCATTATGGGGGAAAGTACTGTTTTTTAATTTCCATTATGGTTCGTTCTAAAAATTCATCTAAGGTAAACAAGTGCACTGCAGTAGGCACATTTTAGGGAAATCTGTGCTGGCTTTTTGTAATGCATTTCTTGGTTTTTTAGCATTGTGAAAGAAGCTACCATATGAGATTGGTTATTATATTATAGTGGCACTGGAGTCTCCATAGTGCCCCTGCTTTCTGTTCTGTTTGGCCTGTGGCGTTAGCATTAGAACTCTAGAAACTGGAGTAACAGTAACAGAGGAAAACTTGCTTTGGGCTCTTCCTGTATGAGCTTTGGGGTAAAACTGGCCTTAGGGACAGGGAAGGAATGAGTGCGCCGTTAAGCAGGGGCCTGCAGAAAAGATTACAGAGTCTTGCAAAAGGGAAGTGTGAAAAAGAAACTGAAAATAGCCCCACCTATAATATAAGATGGGACAAAGAGAAATTTGGACATACTTTCAAGATTCTGTTTCTCTACCTTTATTCCAATAAAGAACATTCCTTAAATCCCTGTGCTGTTTCTTGACTTGCCTACCTTGAAGGGCTGATGTTGGGTTTCTCATGGTGTTCAAGTAGCTGCAGCAATTTCCCTGACCAGCGTCAGTGACTGAGTGGCCTTAGGAACTGAATGAATGAATGAATGAAAGAAAGAAAGAAAGAAAGAAAGAAAGAAAGAAAGAAAGAAAGAAAGAAAGAAAAAGAAAAGTACCAAGTTTGTGGGGAGAGAAGTCCAGAAAGATCTATTCAGTTATTTTCCAGATTAAAGCAAAAGATCAACTCTCCTCTGTGTACTAAGCAAACATATCATAGAAAAGGACTATGTTAAATCTTTCTGCTTGATTTGATATGTTAAGATAAGATCCTTTAGTTAAAGCACTGTAAGAATTCAGGACAACTACCATAACATTAAACATCAGAAAAACAGAGGACTAAGGCAAAAGTAATTAGAATAATGCCAAAAAAGTAAAAATAAATAATAGTGTTGTATTTTTCTTCCCAGTGACTAAATTTTAATTTGCCACTTCCTTTTCTTCTAGCACCACAAAAACACTACTGTACTGAGAAGGCCATGCCCCTCCTTGCCATAGACCTTTTTAAAAAAATAAAAGCAGCACCCAGAGCAGAGCCACCAATTCTGATGTGACAAGCCGGATTGTATGGGAAAAGACAATCCTTTAGCCACCTTGGTCCTAGACCATTTGGAGCTGGGGGGTGGAAGGGTTTAAGGATTTTGAATGGCACCTGGGAACCAATTGGATGTCTATTTTTAGTGTGCAAGTTGTTCAAAAGGTGTTCTTCCTGCTGCAGTCTAAAGAAAGATGACCCAGAATTTTCCCAGCCTCCTTTTCACTCAGGGTCATATTTAGAAGGGCTATTGGTCCCATTCCATCACTTTCAAGGGAACCTAGGCTGAATCTACCCCTTCAGTACAGTAGAGTAAAGCACAAAGAAGCAGCAGAGGAGGCTGCACTTCAAACTGAAGGTGAGCAGTAAGTTTCCTCACATATACAAAAAAACCCACCCTCTCCTAAATGAAAAAAAAAACAACTATAGACAGAAGACTAAACACAAGTCTGTTTCCTTATTATGTTGATCCCCCCCCCCATAAATATCAGGTTAGATTTTTGTATTTCATCTAACCTGCAAAAAAGGAACAAGACAAACCTGGATTCCTATGTGTCAACAAGCTTTTGACAATTTGAACAAGGTGTTATGCACTGAACCAGTCCTACAAGGACTAGCTTATGTTCAACCTTTCACCTTACATGAGTGTGCATCAGAAGTTGGGCTAGGAACAGCCCCTGGTGCAAACCTGTGATGATGGATACCTGCACCTGGTGATGGTATTTAGTATCATTTAGAAATACTTGTAAATTGAAATCATTTTGAAATATGCTCAGAGAAAACCAGAGCTATCATGGATTTAATGGATTGTGGCCATGTCTTTTTTCAGTCACAAAATAAGATTAAACAACTACTGTGTAGAAAGGTGTAGTTTGGAAGAAAATGTCCATATACTGTAGGAAACAGAGTTCATTCCTAGATGGCTTATAGGCAACAACATCTAAAACCTTATGTTGGGGACTGCAAATTTATCATACAGTTGGGTGTCATTAGCAAAATTAAGAAGTTTGGGCAAATACCTGCTCACTAGAAAGAAGTACAAGTGAGCCTGTTTGGTGTATTGGTTAAGGTTAGTGGTTAGAAATTGGGAGCCTGTGAGTTCTAGTCCCACCTGTGGCACAAAGCCAGCTGGATGACTTGGGACAGTCACTCTCTCAGCCCCAGGAAGGAGGCCATGACAAACTACTTCTGAAAAACCTCGCCAAGAAAACTGCAGGGACAGAATCAAAGAGACAAAAATGGAAAAAAGAGGAATACACATGGCAATGAGTTGAAATGTTACCTCCTAAATGAGGGATATCCAATATCATCTCAGTCCTGGGAGAATAAACAGCACATCTCAGCAAAGAACAAAGAAGGTGTGCCTGGGTGGCAAGGGACCAACTGAAAGGGTGGGGCAACATCACACCTTTCAATCTGTCACCTAGGAAACACCAACCCAACAGTGTCTAAGAAATGCAAAGCAAGGCAGAAACCTTGCACTGAGTTAACAAAAATAATAACAGGATTTTT